ATGCAATATCTCGACATGACTCAATGACTGTTAAAATATTTTTCCATACATGTAGGTATGTAGCTTGGAACATGCACGAAGCACAGGAAGGACAGTATGATTTCAATGGCAACAATGATTTGGTTAGTTTTATTCAGATGGCACAATCATCAGGACTCTTGGTCATAGTTAGAGCAGGTGAGTCAATATTCCACTCTGGGGATTATATAACAACTATGGATGATTTAGGAAGTTCATTAAAAAGGATTTTATACCTTCAAAATGAACCTGTTAGTCTTTCAGCCAGTAAAATTAACCCGAAGTTGGCTCATATCCCTGAATGATTATTACTAGTAGTTCTCTCCCCCCCCCCCAGGGGGGAGGGGGGTTCCCTCAGAAAAATTGGGTGGGGGTGTGCAGCCAGTTTCCCTTAACCCCATTTTTGAACGAAATCTGTGATTTCCCTACTCTATAAATGACCTGACTAAAAAGTCAATACCTTATTTATGGCCATTGCGGCTGACACAGTTGCCCTAAACCCTCCGGGCTTTTATCACCTATTGCAGAATAATTTCCTTCATTCCTTGAAAGTCAGTCATTAGTAATGCACAATCTATTAATAAATATTTAAGAAACAGAAAACATGTGCTGTGTTTCTATCGAGTTATAGAAACACAAGTGGAAGTTTGGGAGAATGAGAAATGCTGTGNCGTAAGTTCCAACCAAAGGGCCCCTTAGTGAATTCAGAATTTTATCCAGGATGGTTGGACCACTGGGCAGAGGGACACCAGAAGAGAGAGGCGGCAGCGATTGGATTGTACCTTGATAAGATCCTCGCAATGAATGCCTCGGTCAATTTGTATATGTTTCAAGGTGGTACAAGTTTTGGTTTCATGAATGGTAGGTGCTGTGAGTTACAGTTCTAGGCCAGGTTGTTTAAAGCCTGATTGAGGTAATGCAGGATTAGCAAGAATTTTGATTTCAGTTGGGTAACTTTTCAGTGTAGTTAAATTCTGTTTATTTTGTTTGTCCTTCAGTTTTGAGTTTGAATAAACTCAAACCGCACAAAACATATCCAGTGAAAAAATTAATACTTTGATTAACTTTTAATCCTGGGTGAGCGTTAACTCGCGTTCCAACAACTTGGCTTTGTATATTTACTGTTGTCAGATCCAGGGTCTCCTTTTTTTGCTGGAAAAGTAAATCCAAATGGCCAAATATCTTTCCAGAGAATTCAAACTAGTTGCTAATCCTGGATTAATTTAATCATGATTTTAACAACTGGACCTTGAACATTTCATGTGACAGAAACCTAAATGAAGAACTGTTCTTATGAGGTTACATGTCACTTGTTTAACACACAGGAGCCAATGGTTATCAAGATAGTCGTAAGTTTCAACCACAGCCCACCAGTTACGACTATGATGCGCCACTGACAGAGGCCGGCGATCCGACAACAAAATACTTTTTGATCATGGAGACCATTGCCAAGTATGCCTCAGTCCCCCCAGGCCCTGTGCCTCCAGCCACTAAGAAGTTTGCTTATGGAAAGGTTATGATGACCCAGGTGGGTTAGCTTTACTGTGCTGTAATTCCATAGCAAGGTCGTAAGTTAGAGGAATTTAATCGCTTTTATTTGAATTATCGCTTTCATTCGAATTATTCTATTCCTCTATGAACCCCATATTTTATTTCCTCGCAAATATCTTTTTGTTCTCATTGTAATTTTTTCTTCTTCACACTTTTTACCGTACTTTCAATATTTCAACGATCGCGCTTTTTATTCACTATTTGTCAAAGATTGCAGACTGGCAATCGAAAGCTCAAAATTTTACACTATTTTTTAACCTGAGAGTGTTTTTAAATTTAAATTTATCACTTTTGTTTTAAAGAATTTTCTGCTACAAAGGCAGCAACAATTTTACACCTGCTAAAATTCCGTTGTGATAAAATAGTGTCAGTAAAACCTTCAGAAACCGCAAGCCTTTTTGCTGCAAACATCAATCCCCGCGATATCAAAGATATGCGAGCACAATATTTAAACTCTAACTTCCTCAGACTGCCTCTTAGATCACAACTTCCCTAACCATGCGTGACACGTTATGCAGAAAACTTTAGGGTGTGACGCGTAGAAAGCAGCTAAATGACATATTACGTGATTCATTACTTTATGACAAAAGTATAAGTAATGGGCGAATTGTGCTAAAATTCGTTCGTGAAATGGAGGGAGCCCCGTCTTACCCCCCTCTCCCTTTTCTACCTTCAGTGCATTAGGCCAATTCCGATATACTAAAATTCTAACTTGGCTCCGAGGCTTAGGGGAATAAAACAAAAGAAATTAATTATTCATCCCTCATCCTCGATGCGATTTCGTTTGTTTTATTCCCCTAAGCCTCGGAGCCAAGTTAGAATTTTAACATATCGGAAAATTTGGCCCATTGGCACACAATCAGGTTGAAAAAGTCCGGGATGTTTTAGAGAGAGGAGGCAGCCTTCTGTGCTAGCTGGACTGATAATTTTTCTTTAATTTCCATCGTAGTTCAATTCTATTTTTGATCTGCTAAAATACCTGACACCATCCGGACCTGTCCTGTGTTATGACACTCTCAGCATGGAGCAGATTGGACAAAACTATGGATTCATCCTTTATCGAACTATGATTCCCTTAAACGGGTCTGCGGTGAACATCAGTATTCCAGGACTGCGCGACAGGGGAATTGTTTTTGTCAATCAGGTTTGTGAAATGTTTGACAGGCTTTTCGATTTCTAACGTGTCGGACTTATGCCCCGCCCACAATGCGGCAGAGAAAATTTGAAAACGCAGCTTTATTTGTACGGTTAGGCCTACCGCCCACACTAGTCCGTTCCAAAAGAGGAGCTTTTCGAAAACGCTCTTCAAACCGGTGGATTTTGAAAATGCCGGTTTTGCGTTTTCGTGTGGACGGAAAACATTTTGAAAGCGGAGTTTTTTCGAATACGATCACGTCACGATAATCAAGGGATTTCCCTGACTGAGTTTTCCTCAAACAAAAATCCAAAATGGCGGGTGATTGTTGCCTTTTCAAATTTCTGTGCCGTAGTGTGGCCGGAAAACATTTTATGCATTTTCAGAGTCAAACCGCCGTTTCAAGTAGGCCATATTCGTATTCTCGGTGTTGGACTGAAACTTGTAAATAAGGCTAATGTGGGGAGTCTTTTCAAATGCAAATGACATTTACCTCTTTCTTAATGATTTCCCCCTTCATGGGCCTCCATTGCAAGCCAGTTCCAGTCCAATACCGAGGAGGCGGCGTGGCCGAGTGGTCAGAGTGTCGGACTCGCCATCCAGCGGTCCCGGGTTCGAGTCACGCTCTGACCACTATCTGGATTTGTTTCTAGGTAGCCTCGACTTCAAATCCTTGGCCACACTTGTAAATAGCCAACTGGTTTACCTCCGGCCAGTTGGGATTCTTAACAACGTTATATACAATTTGAATTATTAATATTTGTGTCAGTTGTTTGCTCGGCCCTACTAGTACTTGTGCTATAAACATTGCCGAGGGTAAATTAAGGTTATATTTTAATACGAGTATGGTCTATTTCTCAGGCGTGAAGCCCAGGTAAAGCGCTAACCCCAGCGCTTGTCGAAATTTTACGGTTATGTTTCCATTGTTTGTTTTGTTTGGAAGGTTCGCCAGGCAACTCTGATTCGCGTTGGTGGCAAGACCACCGCCACCATCAAAGTTAAAGCCGGTGCGACCTTGGACATCCTGGTGGAAAACATGGGCCGCATTAATTATGGGCCTCATTTACAAGACCCGAAAGGGATCCTCGGAGATGTGACCCTCGACAATGTGGTCCTTAGAAACTGGAAGATGTATCCCTTACACTTAGACCTTGTTGTGGGCATTGAGAAGTCTCCACATGCTGCGGTTAAAAACGACGAGGATAGCATTCAAATTCCAACTTTCTACATTGGTGAAATTCCTCCAGCACCAGATGGCATTCCTAAAGACACTTTCCTCAATCTTCCTGGCTGGTTTAAGGTGAAAAGACGTTTGTGTAATATATTTAAGGTCGAAAATTTTGTGTTTTGATTTCTTACAGCCAATCCCGTATTTCTAACAACGCAAGTCTTGGGAATTTGTTGTACATGAAGAGAAGACATCCAGTTTACTGCGTTTGTATGTTCTCTTTACCTGAACGCTTGACAATAAGTTTAAGTTGTAGGGAGAATGCTGTTATTGATCATTCCACTAAACTGCTAGCCGTCCGATTTATCCTTAAATTCGACTTACTTGACTTAATGGCTTGACCCGGGGTAGGGAAGGGGGGAGGGGTAAGGAGGGGAATGGGTCAGTTTATCCTCGGAACTTGAAAAGTTGTTATCTTTACTGTGGGCCTTGTACAAGGTTAGTACTCGAGTCGCATGTTGTCGGCAGCGACATTTAGAAAGGATTAAATTTAAAAGTTTCTCTTGCTATTGGTTTGCTCATAGTTAATAGATTCTATTAACTATGGTTTGCTGGTAAGAAAATCTCCTCGCGCTTCTTGGTCAGCGAAATCTTTTCGATAGTGTTGAACAATCCACGATACTGTTCTATGTTTTCCAGGGTCAAGCTTTCGTCAACGGATTTAACATTGGTCGTTACTGGCCCGTTGTTGGACCCCAGGTCACCCTGTTCGTTCCAGCCAGCACTTTGCACCCTGGTAAGGAGAGCAGCGAATTGGTGCTTTTGGAGCTCGATAATGCTCCCTGCATTAGCCCAGAGGACTGTTTTGTCGAGTTCTTAGAAACACCTGATATTAGTGGACCTGTGCGCCCCATGGCTAGAGAGAAGATTATGACCGGCGAAGTTGAATTGCAAGAAGACTGGACCTCAAAATACAGGGATTTTTTACCCTGGTGCACCAAGACGAAACAGCAAGCCGTAGATCTTCTGAAAGACTGGCCATGAATTACGTTGAACCGTATAAGTGAAATAATATGAAAGCATGATAGTATATTCCAATGAATAATGAAGGAAACAATGAATTCATTTCTTGCTTTTCTGGCTAAAACTAAGGATGGGTGATTTTCCAGTAAGTTAGTAATACGAGTGCGGTGAAATTCAAGTTTGTCATTCTCATTTCATCTCATTCGTCCGTCATAGCGACCATTCTTATTCCTTTCTCATTTGTTATTACATTTGTCGTGTTTTCCCGTCTTTTTAGGCAACTGTTATTTTGAGAATTTCGTCCTTTATCGATATATCAAAACATGGCTCCTTTTCAGCAAGGGCTGGTAGTGATTGGTGTGCAGATGGTCCTTAGGTCCGTACTCAGATGAAGGAAAGACGAAGAAGAATGAATTCATTCATCCTCTGTACCTCTTTAAAACAAATCGTAGCAGATCAGGGGTTAGGAAAAAGAGGATTTGATTACCTCAAAAGAGGAAACGCTTGAAAAATGCAATAGAACATAGTTTTGGAAATTGTAATATTGACTGAATCAAATGGTAACGGGTTTTAAAAATATTGATTCATAAACGTTTTAAGCTTTGTATCTCGGAAAAAGAAATTAACATAAGATTTAAAAGTATTGTCTTTTCTTGGGGAAAAAGCTGACGGTGTTTTTTAGAAATCAGTAGCACAATGCGAACAGGTAAAAATGTACAGTAAGAAAATAATAGACATGTAACATGTCTCCCATGTAGTCATATGTTTTGGTACTTAACTTAAGTGATATAAAAAGTCAGTGCTTGAAGCAATAAAAGTCTTAAACATTTGAAGGAGTTAGCATTTACTCAAAATTCTTCTTTAATTTCATGCAGCAACAAAAAGGTGCAGCACATTTCCAAACACCTCGCATTTCGTCAAGAGTAGTCGCGCCGTATTTTCCAGTTTCCTTCGTGTTTGGAAATGTGGTAAATACGGTCTCTCTTGCCTTGAGTTGTGTTATGCACCGCTATACCAGTGCATCGTGCTTTTAAAGTTGCGCATGCGCAGGGTTGATCTTCTCCTATGTTACGGAAAAAAACACTCATTAACTAATCTTCACTTTGCTCCCCTTCAATTATTTTTTTAATATCTCTATTTTGATGTTTAAGGCATATCTCGCTTACTCGGAGTTTATGAGTGAAGATTCTTAGATTTAATTTTATTTTAACCACGTTTTTGATCCAAAAAATGCGTAGTACAATCTCTTTTGGTATTGCCCCTTTAAATTGGATCAGGAAATCGGATACGTATACTTCGGATAATACATTCTCATCCCCAGAATCGCCTGTAGATTGTTTTAGCCGTCACGCAATAAAAATTAAATCGAGAACCATTTAGTGGGTGAATTCAAGAAAATTTAGCGATATTATAGGTAGATGAAGAAGTTACTTCACCAAACTTCAGATATTTGTCGAAATGTTCCGCACAAATTTATAGAGCCCAGTATGGAACAATCATTTATGTTTTTTTATAATAAAGTTTCCATATAACGCGCGCTCTTATTGGNATGCAATAGAACATAGTTTTGGAAATTGTAATATTGACTGAATCAAATGGTAACGGGTTTTAAAAATATTGATTCCTAAGAGTTTTAAGCTTTGTATCTCGGAAAAAGAAATTAACATAAGATTTAAAAGTATTGTGTTTTCTTGGGGAGAAAGCTGACTGTGTTTTTTAGAAATCAGTAGCACAATGTAAACAGGTAAAAATCTACAGTACGAAAATAGTAGACATGTGACATGTCTCCAATGTAGTCATATGTTTTGGTACTTCACTTAAGTGAAATAAAAAGTCAATGCTAAAAGCAATAAAAGGCTTAAACATTTGAAGGAGTTAGCTTTTACTCAAAATTCTTCTTTAATTTCATGCAGCAACAAAAAGGTGCAGCACATTTCCAAACACCTCGCAGTTCGTGAAGAGTAGTCGCGCCGTATTTTCCAGTTCCCTTCGTGTTTGGAGATGTGGTAAACACGGTCTCTCTTGCCTTGAGTTGTGTTATGCACCGCTATACCAGTGCATCGTGCTTTTATAAGTTACGCATGCGCAGGGTTGATCTTCTCCCATGTTACGGAAAAACAGTCATAAACTAATCTTTACTTTGCTCCCCTCCAATTATTTATTTAATATCTCTATTTTGATGTTTAAGGCATATCTCGTTTACTCGGAGTTCATGAGTGAAGATTCTTAGTTTTAATTTTATTTTAACCACGTTTTTGATTCAAAAAATGCGTAGTACAATCTCCCTTGGTATTGCCCCTTTAAATGGGATCAGGAAATCGGATACGTATACTTCGGACAATACATTCTCATCCCCAGAATCGCCAGTAGATTGTTTTAGCCGTCACGCAATAAAATTAAATCGAGAACCACTTAGTGGGTGAATTCAAGAAAATTTAGCGATATTATAGGTAGATGAAGAAGTTACTTCCCCAAACTTCAGATATTTGTCGAAATGTTCCGCACAAATTTATAGAGCCCAGTATGGAACAATCATTTATGTTTTTACAACAACTGTCTGATTTCTCGCGCGCGAAACTTGCACGGGTGCTGCGCGTACTTTCTTAGCCTCGCATTCGTTCCTCGCGGTTAAGAGTGGAAACCACAAAGCAAAGCATTTTCAAGATGGCGGCCAAACTGCACTATTGGTGCCACTGTTGATAGTACGTGTAATATCTGGTTTCAGTTCAAAAACAGAGAAGTTATTTTGATAAATACATCAAAGTGTAGTCGGTACCTGCGACAAACGGACAATTGAAACGCAGTTGATTGGAAATTAGTTGTTCAAAGGCCTGGTTGCGTTACTTGTGTCCTATAAATTCTACGATGACGAAATATTGTGGTGCAATATTCAGTGGAAGAGCTGGTATAAAAACAAGGGCATTCTAGTACTAGCTCACAGTTGAACTAGAAAGGGATCAATAACGCAGACAAGTTTTCCATTTGGCTGGTCAACAGACAAGATGGCGGCTTCATCTAATTCGAGACCCTACGTATCGCTCTTTGACCAAGAGTTGAACGATCTCTTGTGTGGTGTTCGTATTATCACGAAAGATCTTGGCCATGGAACAGGCAACGGCGAACAGCTAGAGCTATGGAACAAAGAGCACAACCACGAAAAGGGTAATGTACAATGTAATGTTCAGATTGGTTAGCGGTTCTGACTACCAATTTTATGTACGTCTTATTATGAGCTTAATTAAGCCCACCCTTAGGGAAAAAGTTCACTGTTTACGTACATAGTAAGTAAAGCAGTCAATATAAGTCTGCATTTGAGCCTAATGGCCCACCAGGCTGGCTGTTACTGCACTTGTTTCCATAGCCTGAAACAACTGGGAGTATTTCTCTCCCTCTGGGTATGGTTTGGTCCTAGACCATGGAAGAGCTCCCCCTTCCACAGCATTAATTCTCTGGTACCTGTTTATATACCTGGGTGGAGAGAGGAACCTTGAGAGTACACATCTTGCCTAAGAACACAACACAGTGACCCTGGCTGTTGATTCTACCCAGGACCACTTGATCCGAAGTCCACCACAACAACCAATGGGCTTAAATTCACTACAAGAACGATACTAGTGTGATTGCTTGATGGCTAGTGCGCTGGACTCTTCAATCACCAGTCTCGCTTTGATCGTTGGCCGAGGTCATACTTGTACAGTGTCTCTCATCATATGAGAGTATGAATTGATATTGGTTATATACTAGGCCAAATTATCTGACTAACTGTGGATGGGAATTGTTGGGGTGAAGATCCCATCTTGGTAATGAATGGACGTACTCCTAGTTGTGTTATTCAAACCAGGTTAAGCTTGGGCAGTGTTGGCCAGTTTTGCCCAAATCTGACTTAATAGGAAAAATGTTAGTCTTAGAGGCTAGTCATGGACCCAAAAAGTATTATTACGTTGACTATGCAGCTCTACAGAAAAATGCATGGAACTCCTTGAAGTACACATTTGTAGTTTAGATACTTTTAGTGGCTTATAGTAATATTGCTGGTGAGGAGATAAAATTTATTCAGATTAATCTTTGTAAAACAGATTCACATGTACCTGAAGCTGGAGACAAGACTGGAATGAGCTGTTCTGTTTGCCAAATTGTATTTGAGTCTGTTGAAATCCAGGTAACCAATGTAGTACAGTTAAATTACTCACTCATGGCTCAATCTGGCCACTTAGAAATTATTTAGTAAACAGTGTCTTAAGGAAAATTTAATTTCTATTGGTGCACTGATTTGGCTACATGTTCCATACCATAAGCTGGCTAGGAATAAGAGGAAATTCTCGAGCCACCATTTTTCTTGGGTTGCCTGGCTAACAATTTCCTTGTTACCTAATTAATTACACCTGTGTAGAAAGGCACTGTGAGAGTAACATTTTACCCAAGAATGTAACACAATAACCCTGACCAGGATCAAAACTGCATGGTCAAGACTAGTACAACTCTCTCTTTTTTTTAATGTTGTAAGCATTTTTAAGGGATGCTTATTTTAAATAGATTTGATTCAAAGGACATAGGAAATTCTAATTCCTTTTTGTAAATTTTCTAGAGAGAACACTTTAAGTTAGATTGGCACAGATTCAACTTGAAACAAAGACTCTTGAAGAAGCCAATTCTGACAGAGGATGCATTTGAGGAAACTATTTCTGGTAATTATGTAGTTATTTAGAGCTTGGTAATTATTGTCTATGATAACTTGCTCGCTACCTGTATTCTTAAAATTGCATCAAATTGTGATGTGTTATCCACAGGTCAGTAATTCTCACTGACATTATCTTACAGAGAATGGCATAGATTTTGCTATGCATCACTTGGTTCATAACAGACAGCAAGAAGGAAAACAAAAGATTTCAACTCTTCAAAGGAAAAAGCTACTACCTTGCCTGATACCAGTTAATGATTGCTTTGGTGTTTTCTACTCTGCCCTGGCAGATAACACACCTTGGCAGTGATAATTCTTCAGCTACATGTATCATGCTTAGCCAAATCCAAAAATAATACAGTTTAATTCATAGTTAAGTATTAATAATTTATAACTGAGTTCTGTATATATATAGCATTAAGAATGAGGAAAGCTGAACCTCGGAGTTTGTAACCCAATCTGTCAAAGTTTAATATTATTATCTTTGTATTATTTCTTTCTCCCCAGGTGAGGTATCCAGTATTTCTGGTTCTGATAGTGATACAGATAGTGATGGTGACCTGACTCTGGAGTCTAATCAGGACAGTAAACCATTTATCAATAACCTATTACCTGAAACACCAGATGAAAATGAGTCATGCCCAACTGGACGACAACACCCCAAGGTGTTTTTTGTCAGTGGAGAGGGAGAAGTGTTGTCCGTTTATCGTAGTGTGTTGCACTCAGTCAAGGTACCTACCTACCCACCTTACATACCTACCTGCCTGTCTACCTAGCTAGTGGCTAACTAGTTCCCTACCTAGCAATCTGTCTGAGCTATCTACATGCCTAGCTTTTTGACTGCCTGCCTGCCTTTCTACCTGTCTATGTTCATACCAAGATGCATGTACCAACCCACCTTCCTACCTACAGTGTACTTGCCTCTTTGCCTGTCTTCTTGTGTAACAACCTACCCACCAACATCCTTCTATTTACAGAATATCCCAGCCACAGCAGGTGAAACACTTTCTCTGTTTACAAGTCTACCAAAGAAGTGTTACTGGATTATATTGATGACGGCAGGAGGTCACTTTGCTGGAGCAGTGTTCAGTGGGAAAGAAGTTTTGACACACAAAACTTTCCATCGATACACAGTTAGAGCCAAACGAGGAACTGCACAGGGAGCTAGAGACTCACAGCAAGGTGGAAAACAACCGAAGTAAGGAAAACAGTGATAAACATATAATTTTCCTAGGCCACATTGTATGATGTTCTAGAGAAGAGACACAGTGACCTAATGGATAGCAAGCTGGATTCCAGATCAAGTTTTCCGAGTTCTAGCCCTGGCAGGGAGTCAGTGCATGGTGTTCTTGGGCAGGATACTTTCCTCTCATGACACAGTACCTCTCTCCACTCATAGGAATAAGTGGGTGCCAGCAAATTAGCATCCCATCCAGGGGGAGTAGAAATACTCCTAGTTGCTTAACACTTCAGAAACCAGCATAAGCTACATGTATATGGACCATTTGGCCCAACACAGACCTTTCCTTAGAGTATTGTAGACTATAAGTATTCTTTCATTTTTTTCAGCATAAATTATGTTGAGCGGCCAAGTACCCATACCCACACAGCTCGCATGAGGGGATGCAGTGTGAAGTACATCTTAGAATTTCTCAAAGTCTGTCACTAATTCTCATGACTTTAATATTTAGGTCTGCAGGAGCAAGTTTGAGACGGTACAATGAAACTGCTTTGTTACAGGTTGGTAAAAATACTTTGCTCTCACAGCTGTACAATGGTTGTCATTGGATTGTTGGTTCATGACAAAATTCCTGGGACTAATGTGCCCTGCCAGAAGTATATATATGCTTCTGGTCCTGCCTATGCCCCATTCCTGGGGCTAATGTGCCCATGACAGGGTAGNGCATGAGGGGATGCAGTGTGAAGTACATCTTAGAATTTCTCAAAGTCTGTCACTAATTCTCATGACTTTATTATTTAGGTCTGCAGGAGCAAGTTTGAGACGGTACAATGAAACTGCTTTGTTACAGGTTGGTAAAAATACTTTGCTCTCACAGCTGTACAATGGTTGTCATTGGATTGTTGGTTCATGACAAAATTCCTGGGACTAATGTGCCCTGCCAGAAGTATATATATGCTTCTGGTCCTGCCTATGCCCCATTCCTGGGGCTAATGTGCCCATGACAGGGTAGATTTCCTTGTGGTTGTTTTAGTGATTAACTTTGCACCTTTAGTTGCTGATTTCTGGGGCTGAAGCAGAGTGATGTAACCTTTAAAAGTCACTTATTTTAACATCAAATTTGATTTCTGGTCCATTTCCCTCTTGGGGGCAAGGCCATTTAAAAGGCAAGTCAGGTAACTCCCTGTAGGAAGCAATCTGTATGATAAATAAGTTCTACATTCAATGAACATTTGAAAAGAATTTGAAGCAAACTTCCCACTTCACCTGTCATTTGTCACACAAGTATCTTATTCTAGTATTCTTCTAACAATATTTACTATCATTTCTAGGGTGTTCTCTGGCATACGTATAAGTATGTTTGTTATCTTCCCAAAATCCTGATAGCACTAATTGACAGTGCGGTTCCAAATCCAGTATTCCTCTTAAATGGCTCATAGGATGTAAAATATAGCCTGTACTTAAGCTATTATTGTTTACCATTGTCTGTTTTGTTGTTGTTTCCACAATAGGAGGTTCAGGATCTCCTGGAGGCGTGGTCAAAGCACGTGGAACAGTCCGACAGGATCTTTATCAGGACACCTGCTTATAATAAAACAATGTTCTTTGGAGGGAAAAAGCCTCCCTTTAAGAAAGGTACGTGGCGTAAGGTCAAAGAATGTGACTCATTTTTTAACAGTAAATTTTGCAGGTTCCGAAAAGGTGTGCGAGTGCATTACTGTAATAAAGATTAAAAGCAAAATGTAAGTCTATGTGTGAGCAAGGACTTGGTGATATACAACGCATTTTTTGTTCCCTCTTGCAGATGATTCTCGCATCAGAACGATACCTTTTCCAACAAGGAGACCAACATTCAACGAAGTTAAACGAGTTCACCAGGAGCTATCCAGTGTTCAGTTACTGGGTAAGTCTCGCCTCGTCTCTTTCTCTTCAATGGAATCGAATCTCGTGTATTATCAGCTTTAGCAACCTTTTACCGTGAGACACTTGGAATCCTAAATTATTCAAACTGTATCTTTTTTTTCAAAATTCAATTTTTTTTTCAAGATGGTTTTTAAAAAATTCCAAGTGTAATGCAGCCATAATGGAAGAACTTCTCCGGAAGGTGTTACGTCAGCCGCAAGTAAAGCAGTGACACACTTTTCCTCGCGCAACCCAGTCTCCTCTCTCCCTCTGCTGTAGTTTAACTAAGAAAGGCGAAAAGTAATCGTCGCAAACTGTATAGCTAGTGGCTCTACTCAGTTTCTGGGAAACTAACTTGAGTAAAGCTCCAGATCGACTTCGTTTTGTATCCCACACTTTATAAGGCCTAGTTCTAACTAGACTAATACTTCTGAAATTGCACACCAGTGAAAACACATCAATTTTTGCCTCTTTTCTTGCGATGGCAAAATAATAGTGGCGAAACTGACAAAAACTAACAGATATTTTGTCCAAAATATTTCTATTTCTTTTTGGTTGTACATTAGGAAAGGACAGCGATGCAGAGCTACAAGGTCTCCTTAAGGAGTTGACAGAGACAAAAACAAAGGAGAATTTGTCTTTGGTTAACGATGATGATAAAGTTCGATTGTGGCAGAACAGTCAAACTACCATCAGCAACAGTGAGGGAAAGGAACATAATACGCAACAAAGAAATGACACTGAAAACAGTGATGAACATCAGCCTGGGTTAGAGTCGGAGCCTGGTACAGAGTCTCAAGCAAGACCTCAGGAAACGTCGAAAAAAACGAAAAGGAAGAAAGCTAAAAGTAAAAAAGCTGAGTTAGGGGACATGTTGCATAATGGACAAAAAGGTAGGCTTGTAGAGACCCAAATATAACTTGTTGGCAGACAGCGTGGCCGAGAGGTCAATAAAAACGTCAGTTTCCGCGGGTTTTAGCCCTCCTCCTTGCTACAAATGTATTCAAGTGTTTTTCTGTTATACCTCCCGATTAGAGGAGAACGTGTCACGTGTCGTGGGTGAAAGCTCACTAACTCCCTCGCGAAACAACAACTTTCGACTCCACGTGATCAGGTTGTGCACCTTGAAAACTGCGGCAAATTTGTGTGCCTGCTGGCGTCAAGCAAATATTTTTCTCTCAGTTTGTTCTGTTTTTGAGTTGGATGATATAACAAAACACATAATGACTGGCCCAGAGACCCTCAATGTTCCCCTCGACTTCAGGAACATATAAGGTCAAGGGGAAACAAAACTCGGTTCTAAGGGCAGTAAATGACCAAGTAAAGCAAAGTAAGTCTGGTATTTTGCCATTTGGTGTTGGTGGGTAGATAAGGTGCTAATTTGAACTGTTTGTTTCTTATTCACGGTCCATAAGCTGCAGTGCACGCTATTGTATGAATCATGTAGAAACAAAAGTACTTTACCTTTAATTTATCTCCTATTTATTCCACCATGGTTAAAACAGAGAGAATTGACTTCTTTTTCAGTTTCCTCTGAACAGCTTTTGTGGAATCGACTTCACTGTGCTATAGTGTCTGACAACAAAGAAGTGATTTCTTCAGTTCTTGGAGCGAGCGTTAAAACCTCTGGAGAAAGCGGGTCAGGAACCAGTGGAGACTGTTTACTCCAAGACGCAAACCAAGCTTTGGACGATACTAGCGCGCCTGAGATATCAGGCCAGGAAAATAATCATATTTTAGAAAGTTACGCTGAAGCAAACATCAGTGATTGTGAACGACGTGAGGATAATTTAAANTTGCTGCATAAGTATTCAAATGTTTTTCTGTTATACCTGCCGATTAGAGGAGAACGTGTCACGTGTCATGGGTGAAAACTCACTAATTTCCTCGGGAAACAACAACTTTCGACTCCACGTGATCAGGTCGTGCACCTTGAAAACTGCGGCAAATTTGTGTGCCACCTGGCGTCAAGCAAATATTTTTCTCTCAGTTTGTTCTGTTTTTGAGTTGGATGATATAACAAAACACATAATGACTGGCCCCGAGACCCTCAATGTTCCCCTCGACTTCGTCTCCGCGAACATTGAGGGTCGAGGGAAAACAAAACTCGGCTCTAAGAGCAGCAAATGACCAAGTATAGCAAAGTAACTCTAGTATTTTGCCATGTAAGATTGGTGGGTAAATAAATAATGAACTGTTTGTTTCTTATTCATGGTCCATAAGCTGCAGTGCACGCTTTTGTGTGAACCATGTAGAAACAAAGGTGCTTTACCTTTAATTTATCTCCTATTTATTTCACCATGGTTAAAACCGAGAGAATTGACTTCTTTTTCAGTTTCTTCGGAAGAGCTTTTGTGGAATCGACTTTACTGTGCTATAGTGTCTGACAACATAGATGTGATTTCATCAGTTCTTGGAGCGAGCGTTAAAACCTCTGGAGAAAGCGGGTTAGGAACTAGTGGAGCCTGCTTACTTCAAGACACAAACCAGGCTTTGGACGATACTAGCGCGCCTGAGATATCGGGCCAGGAAAATAATCATATTTTGGAAAGTGACGTTGAAGCAAACATTATCAGTGGTTTTGAAAGACGTGAGGATAATTTAAATGTGAATGACTCCAATTTCGACGAGAATTCAGAACCATCGAGAATTAACGTAAATGAACAAGCA